TCCCTCCTGAAGTGTATGTTATTTTTTCTGAGGAATTATGTCAGATGAAAAGGGGTTTTGTTCATACTCTGATTGTAAGACTTTTGTGTTCTTAAGATCAAAGCAGTTTAAGCAACTGGTATTTTTAATTCAAATGAAAACTCATTAACATTAATAAACAGTAAGGAGGAAAAAAAGCCTCAGTTTCGAAAGTCCTGAAGTACAAGATTAGCTGAAATGTGACAAGCAACTGAAAGAAACCTAAAACCTGCCACAGGGATTTTTGCAAATCAGCTTAGGAGCCAGTAAGATGGGGAGCTGATGTCTTCACTGGCAATGACACCCTAAGCAGAAAGGAAACTTTCTGATCAAGTGACTGGCTGTGCTGGAATAGATTTTATATTCCTGGTTGTGAAGTTATTAGAAGCTAAAGTTAAGGTGGAAGCAGGAGACTAAGCAGGTATCTGGGGAAACAAGTTTGGGCAGAACATGACCTCCTCAATGCAGGGAGAAAGAGAATTGCCCCATGGCCTGTTCTCCTGGACCACTAACCTGTGCTCTCCCTGGAGCTCCCCCAAGCAGTACTCCCTCTGATCAGATCATCCAGTGCTTGCACAGAAACCCCTCCTGTGCATGTGGGATGGGGCTGAAGGGCAGGAGCTGAGCAAGTTAGCTCAGCAGCTGTTGTGCAAACACAATTTTTCCAGTTGCATGCCTGAAGCTGTCTGTTTTTTGAATACTTATGTATGTTTTATTCAACGTGGAAACCGTTTGCCATTCAGAGCCTCAGAGCACTGTGTTTTCCTGCTAGGCTTGTTTCTATGAGTGTTGACTTTTCTCCGGGCCAGTCTCATTAATTAGGCAATCCTTAAAGGGACAGAAGGGCTTTCATTTAGGATAAAAGCATTGTCTGGCATAATGCAGCATTAGCTTAGCTTTCAAGGAGAGCACTAAGGCTTCACACAAACATCAAAGGAGCCAGGCTGTAGACTGCTCTATGAAAGGCTGATGGGATGTAAATATTGGTGTCATTAATCAGCTGTCTCAAATCACCCATGAGTTTCAAGGCCAGAACCAAGTTAGGAAGATGTGTTTGCTGCTGCCTTGAGGAAGGGTAGATGAGTCAATGCAGTAAAAGATAGATTGTTTGGGGGAACTAACATTACTGTTATTTTTATAGGTGTTTGGTCTTGTGTTGCTTGTTCTCTGTGTTGCCGACGCAGTTCTGCTTTACAAGATTGCCATTCATAGACCAAGAGGAAGGACTGCTCCTGCCAAATAAGTGCCAGTTTAGTAAAGAGTGATTTCTCCATCCATAACTGTTTCACCACTCTTAAAGGATTTGTATTTTCAGGTGTTCACCTTTGAATTTCCTGTGCATTTATGTGTGCGTTTGCAAATATCATTCATAGGTTTTCATACATTTCCAAATGTAGTTTCAGCATTGCAATTTCACCAGTTAAAGCTTCACAGAAAATTGTCCTGTTTTTCTAAACTTAATGATTGAAAGTTTTTACCTGTTTGAAAATTAATGATTGTCATCTTTCTGTAATAAAAAAGAAAATCCAAGTGGGTTTAAGTGTGTTATTTAACATTATTTATTCGTTTATGAAGTGTACTTAGAGCAAGTTTTGGACTGTGCTGCCCAGGGAGGTGGTGGAGTCACTGTCCCCGGAGGAGTTTAAGGACAGACTGGATGTGGCACTTAGTGCCTTGGTCTAGTTGTCATGGTGCTGTTAGGTCATAGGTTGGACTCGATGATCTCAGAAGTCTTCTCCAACCTTAACGAGTCTGTAGAAATATAACGCACCAGCGAACATCCCTAGAATAGATTCTTCCCCAGCCTTGCGCTCCCTCGTCGCCTGGCTCAGCTCGCGGCCGCCCCGTGCCGTGTGGGTGCGATGCTGTAGCGGGGAAGGGATGGATGGAGGGATGAGCTCGGGCGCTCCGCGGGGCTGGCTCCCTGCCCGGCCGG